GCACGTCGGTGCTGGGGAGCAATAGAAAGGGAGCGTCCTGGCTCCCAGGTTGCTGGTCTGAGCAGTGCGGTGGGTCCCGCCCATCACAAGGGGACAGGCCTGGGGCTGGAGGGGGTGATGTCTAGTTGAGGAGCGTCCCTGTGGGGCCTGGAGGGACGCTCCAGAGAGGCCCCCGGCTGAGCATAGGATCCAGGGTGGTGGGGGAGGGACAGAGCACACATGAACCCCCCCACAGGCCCCCACAGGGGACAAGGCAGGTGGCGGGAGCCCCAGGCAGGTGCTGGGGTAGAAGGCAGCCCGAGTTCCAAGAAGGGCCGTGGGCTGCACACCACAGGCTGTCCAGCAGCCCAGAAATCCCGAAAAGGAAATGCCCATAGCAGGCCACCATCTCTGAGGAGGGGCAGCCGCGGGCCGGGGGATTGGTGGTAACTCGAAGGGGAGGCGGTGGAGGAGTCTGGGCACAGGACAAGGGGCAGACACGTCCAGGAGGTTCCCCAGAGGGCAATGGGGAGGCAGTGATGCACCCATGTCCCTCCCGCCCCATAGGCCCCTTTGCTAATGCCCTGGCCTGAGCCTCCTCGTCTGGGCAGTGAAGCTGCATCATAAAATTTTCCAATACTGAACAAATTGACCAAAGAGTTACAGCTACCAAGAAGGGACAGCTGGGTGGCTCATTGGTTGCGCATCTGCCTTTGGCTCAGGGCGTGATCCTGGAGTCCCGGGATCTCGTCCCACATCAGGCTCCCTGCATGGAGCCTGCTTCTCCCTCTGCCTGTGTCTGCGCCTCTCGTGAATAAATAAACTCTTAAAAAAAAAAAAAACTACCAAGAAATGCCCAGGCGGCTGTTGGGCCTGGAGCGAGCCCAAACCTCTGTGCCTTGTGAGGTGCCTCATCTGCCTCCATCCCAGGAGCGGGGGGCTTCATCCTGAGAAGTGTGGCACCGGCCCATCCCGGGAGGGACGCCGACCGCCAGGGGAGGGGGAGGCTGACTTCCTCCCTGCCATGTGGACACAGGACGGGCACCCCCGGCGGGCTGGCGCGTGGGCAGCAAGGGTGTGGGCCCCAGCAGCTCAGTGGAGCCATCCAGACCCCGAGCTTCCCCTCACAGGGCAAAGGTTGCGCCCGTCACAAAGCGGAGCGACATTTAAGGAGCCCTGGGTCACCGCAGGGCCCGGCGGCCCAGGCTGGCTTCCCCTGGCTTTCTCCCCTTCCCAACCAACAAGAGAGGGGACGGTGCCTGGGGTGCCCCTGTCCTGCTCCGAGCCAGTCAACAGATCTGGGAGGGGGGTGCTGAGTAGCCGTAGGAGTCCATTCATTCGTCGGCGGTGCAGGTGCACGTTCAGGAGACGGCTCCTCGGCTGGGCTGGAACCCAACGACCGAGAAACTGGGGGGGGGGGCGCCGGGGGAAGCCCCAAGGGAACACTCAGGAGGCCGGGAAGCCGAGCCCTCAGGAGCACCCCGGGGCGTGAGGAGAAGGGGGGCGGATGAGGGGACAGCACCCCCCCACACACCGTTGTTGGTTGCCAGCATCAGTGAGGAGCCGCAAGGGGTCATTTGGGGGCGAGACAAAGCAATTAAAGCGATAATTTATTCATTCAGTTATGACTTAAGCACCTAATTCACGCTGCTGTTTAGACGGGGTGGCGGGGGGGGGTGAGACCACCAGGTCCCTGCCCCCCGGAGAGGCCGGCTGGTGGGGAGGAGGGCACAGGTAAGGAATCCTCTACGGTGATGGCACAGGACGAGGGTAAGGGGACGGAGGGGTCACAGCGAGGGCCACGGCTGACACTGGTGAAGGAGGGAGCACGACCCCGTACAGGTGCGGTGCCCCGTGGGGCCCGTGGGGCTGTGGCTGTGCCACTGGAGGGCCCCGAGCCACCGCCGATTCGGGGAGCCCCTCGGCGGCCGAGGAGCCGCAGTGAAGCGCGGGGCGCCAGAAGCCGAGCGCTAGAGCTTTCGGAGATCCGCTTGCAGGAAAGTCGGGGTGACGGCCCCCCGGGTGGCGGCCGGGCGTCTGGAGCCCAGAAGAGCCCAGAAGGAACCCAAGTTCCCCAACCGCGGAGGAGCCGACCTTCCGCACCAGCGAGGCCGGAATCACAACAAAGGCTGAGCGGCCACGTGGGGGTGGCGAGCGGGCCACGCGGGCGGGGCGGGGGTGTCGCCTGAGCAAGGTGCCAGCGCCGCCGGGAGGGACGGTGGCGGGGGTGGGCGGGGGCCCAGCGCCAGCTCCTCAGCGGCTGAGGCCGGACGTCAGCCAACGCTGTCTGGGGGGAGCGCGCTGCCAGAGCCACGTGACACCGTCTCTTGATTTTTGCAATTTCTAAAAATAATCTTGGAGGCTTTGAAACTTGGGGTGAAGACGCATTCATCTGATCCAGCGATCGTGTTTGCCCTTAAATTTTTGGAAATTTGCAGGGAGGAGCTCCGTGCTTTCATTCTGCGTCTCCGCGCGCTCTGCCCTGGCCTCGGCTCTGGACGCACCCGGGTGACCCTCGCCGCAGGTCGACAGCCTTATGTCGGTGAACTTGTGGGCGAGATTTTTAAGACTCCATCCTTGGATTGCTGGACAGCGCGTTCCTGCAAAGCCGACGAGGCTGGGTTTTTTCAGCTGGGGCAGTGCTGGCCCTGGGAGGACACGAAGGACACGTCCCTGCTACTTGGGGTGTCTCAGCAGCGTCGCTCCCTGCTCCCAGCCGGCCTGGCTCGGAGCTCGAGGGACGGTGTGCGGCCAGCCCTGGCGAGCCTGCCTGTGAGGCACCGTCCCCCCAAATAGGGCCCACCATCCCCACCGGGGAGGCCTCGGTGAGTCCTGGGGAGGCCCCCCCGGGAGCTTGGAGAGACACCCCCACCTGGCTGAAAGGAAGGGAACGGGCAGTTAAGAGTGGACGCTGGGGGCAGCCCGGGTGGCGCAGCGGTTCAGCGCCGCCTTCAGCCCAGGGCGTGATCCTGGGGTCCCGGGATCGAGTCCCATGTCGGGCTCCCTGCGTGGAGCCTGCTTCTGCCTCTGCCTCTCTCTCTCGTCTCTCATAAATAAATAAATAAATAAAATCTTAAAAAAAAAAAAAGAGTGGACACTGGGGTTAAGCATCTGACTCTTGATTTCAGCTCAGGTTGTGGGGTCGGGCTCTGGGCTCAGCAGGGAGTCTGCTTGGAACTCTCTCCCCCTCCGCCCTGGCCCCTGCTAGTGCACATAGGGTGGGGGCACCGCAGTGGCCGCGGTCATGGGTGGCCCCAGGTGACGTCCTCACCAGGCAGGTGCTGCCCCATGACTCTCCCTGCTTGTCCTACCGATGCCCGCTCTGCTGGGCGGACCCTGTTCTCTCCCAGGGACTCCCAGCCGGGGGGGTGTTCACATTTGGGGCCCGATCACCCTCGGCTGTTAGGGGCAGTCCTGTGTTCTGTGGGATGTGAAGCAGCACCCCCAGTTCTACCCGTTCCACGCCATGAGCCCCTGTGGAAGGCACGGTGCCCCCCCCCAAAAGATGCCCATGCCTTCAGAGCAAACCCGAAAATGTGCCGGTCCACACAGCGGGGCCTAGCAGCAGCCCGCGCGCCACCCGGGGGCCCACGGAAGAGGCAGGCGGATGCCACGTGCTGGCTTTGGAGGCCGCGGAAGGGGCCTCGCGCCAAGGGGTGCCGACCGCTTCTAGAGGCTGCAGCAGCCAGGAACACGCTCTCCCCAAGAGCCTCCAGGAGGGAGGGAGCCCGCCCACACCCTGATCTTGGCCTCGTGAGACCCGTTTTGGACTCCTCAGTGAAGTGCTTGGGGACGTGAGGTCTGGGGTGGCGAGCTCTTGGGGTGGCAGATCCGTCTCCAGGTGGTGAGTGAGCGACCTGTCCCGGCTCCACGCTCGACTGGAGAAGGCCCCGGGCTCTGTGCTGTCCCCAACCCGCCCACGCGGGGCTGGCCCTGCGGCCTCCCTAACCATGGTGACTGTGAAGTGGCACAGGGTGCTGCCCCGCTGGAGGCCCTTCCGCTCTGCCCACTGTGGTGGGTGCTGGGGGCTGGTCCACCCGGCAGCCGGCTCCCAGCCCGGGAGAGACCCTGAGACCCCGTGAAAGGCAGAGGGCTGGTCATCGGCGTCCGGACTCCCCGCCGTCTGACTGCAGCCTCTCGACACGCCCCCGGTGACACCAGAACCGGTAGGGTCAGCCCACTGGACCCCCAGATCTCTAGGACACCATGCAGTCCTGTGAGCCATTCGGTGACAAAGACCTCCAAGGCACTTGTCCCCGCTGCCCTGTTGACGCTGTAGCTCCCACCCGGCCCGTGAGCACCCACAGCAGGTTCTGGCCCCACATCCTCAGAGGAGGGGCAGGCACCGTGAGGGCCTCAGGCCCTGCCCCAACCTCACCCCCCACCAGGACACCTCCCCTCCCCTCGCCCCACCCACAGCCCCACCTGCTGGGGGGACGGGTGGAGCGAGGCAGGAGCCCGCGGGTGCCTGGGTGCCGCATAGGCCTGGGGCTGACCGCCTCGCCCTGCCCCAAGTCCCGTCCCCCCAGCTGCCCCCCCACAGCCCCCATCAGCCCCCTCGCCGCCTTCCCACTTGCGGGCCTCTCCACCGTGATCTCCCCTGATGCAGCCCTGCCCCGTGACCCGGCTCAGAACCTTCCACCTACCCCTCAACCTCCAAAGGAGGACACCGCGGGGGGCCGGGGCCAGCCCCTCACAGCCCCCCTCCCTGCCCTGCCACCCCAGGACTATGTGTGCCCTCGGGGCTTCCCGCAGGCAGGGCCCACCAGGAGACCTGGGCCCCCACGCTGGGTGGACCTGGGTGCCCAGCAGGTCCTGGAGCCCACCCTCCACCCTGCCCCCCTCCAGCCGTCAGGCGGGGCACCCGCTGGAGCCCGGGAAGGTGCCGCGGCCTCTCTAGGCAGCAGAGGGCGATCCTGGAAGGCCCCGCCGCCCTGCCCCCCAGCGCCCCCCAGGGCCCCCAGCGCCCCCAGCGCCCACGGCCTCCTGGAGGCTGGGCTGGGCCAGGGCCCCCTCCCCAAGGTGCCCTCCCGGACCTGGGACCTGTTTCCTCGTCCCTGGGCTCCCAGGCCCCGCGGGAGGTCAGGAGGCCTCAGCCGCCGACCCCAGGACCCCAAGGAAAGCGCTGGAAGCCGGACACAGGCTGAGTGGCTCTTAGGAGGGCGGGGACCTGGAGACCTGCGCGGCCCAGGTCACCCTCTGCCAGAAAGGCGCGCTCCGGGCCAGGAAGGCGTGGAAGGCGAGGGCGGCCTCGGAGGACCTCAGCGGGTGGGGGAGGAGCACGTCCCTGTCCACGTCCTCGGACACCAGCCGGGCCACGAGCTGCCTGATGTCCTGAGGGCGACCGCGGGGTCAGGGCCGGGCTGGGAGGGGGGGCGGGCACTGGGAAGGGGGGGTCTCGGCCCGCCCCGTGCCCCAGGCCCACCCTGCGGGGGGGGGGCAGCCTCTCCGCCATGCCTCCCCGGGCCCTCCTCCCCTGGCCCCTGCCGCCACCCCCCCGCAGTATCCCTCACCCCCCCACCCGTCTGTGGGTGGGGTCCCGCGTGCCGCCCTCCCCCCGGCCCCCTATCCCCCCCCCCCGCACACCCGTCTGTGGGTGGGGGTCCCCGCGGTGCCGGGCTCCTCCCAGCCGCCCTGCATGGCCAGCTGCCGGCGCTCCTCGATGCTGAGGCTCCAGTGGCGGGTCGGGCGCTTGCTCTCCGGAGGCTCACACACCTGCGGGGACAAGGAGGCTCAGCCGTGGCCACCTGCACGCCTGCCTCCCGCGCCCACCGACCCACTGCGCCCTGCACGCGAGGGAAGGCGCGGGGGCTTTCCGAGGTGCCCTCCACTCACTCCTCCCCAGATCCAGCTCGCCCCCGGGCCTTTGCACGGCTCTGCGCCGGATGCTGCGGCCCCACCACCTGCCCGCTTTCCTGCGCCGAGTGGGCCCTCGACGGGGGAGTCCTGGCAGCGGTGTCCCTGCCCTTCCCACCCGGGGTCGCGGTCGGGAGGTGGCCTGCGAGAGCCTCAGAAGGCGGGGACCCAGAGGTGGGCCAACGCCCCCCAGGGCTCTTTACGGACATAAGGAGGCGTGAAGGGGAAAGAAGCCGCAGGAACCGGGAGGACATGAAGAGGTGGCAAGGGGCCCGTGGGGGAGGGTGGCCAGCACGGGCAGGAGGCTGCAGGGAGGCCACCATGGGAGAGGCCGGAAGCAGCCACCGTCCACTAGCTCCCGCGGGCTCCCCGCCCCCAGATGGAACCTCCCAGGGGGCTGCGTGGGAAAGACCCTCAGAGCGCACCCAGGCCCCCTGCTACCGCCTGGGGGTACGGCAGCCAGTCACTGTCCCCGCGCCACGGGGGGGGGGTGTTCAAAATACACGGTGAAGACAAATGCAGATTAACCTCCGCAGATTCCTCCAGAAATTAAAAATAGAAGTCCCGCCGGGCTAGCAGTCCCACTTCTGGGGCTTTACGCAGGGAACTGAAAGCAGGTCTCGAAGAGATGCCGCACGCCCGGGTCATGGCAGTGTGACTCGCAACACACTCGAGAGGCGGAAACACCCGACCGTGCATCGCTGGGTGACTACATAAGCCCAGTGGGAGGATCCCCTCCGTGGAATATCATTCAGCCCTAAGAAGGAACAAACACCGATGGACCTTGAGGACACGGTGCCAAGTGACATAAGCCCGTCACCTAAGGACAGACCGTGGGTGCTTCCACTCACAGGAGGTCCCTGGGAGAGTCAGGTTCACGGGGACAGGAAGCCGACGGGCCACGGGCCGGGCGGGTGAGCGTTTAATGACGACGGCGTCAGGTTTGCAAAACATAAAAGTTCCGGAGATCCATCGCCTAAAGACGTATCCGGGCATCTGGGGGGCTCAGCGGTTGAGCCTCTTGGGCTCAGGGTGAGATTCCACGGTCTTGGGATTGAGTCCCTCATTGGGCTCCCTGCAGGGAGCCTCTCTGTGTGTCTCTCGGGAATAAATAAATAAAATCTTAAAAAAAAAAAAAAAAGACGTGAGTATCCTTCACGCTGCTGGACTATCCGTGTGAAGGTAACGAGCAACAGCAGGACCGGAGACGCACACAGGACGGGGTGTGAGGGGCACGGAGGGAACGGGGCCGTCTACAAGCAGGGAGGAAGGGGACACATCCTGGCCACGGGGCCTGGAAAAGGAAGCGGCCCCGTGACACTCGGATTTTGAGCTTCCAGCCTCGACTCTGAGCAGCCCGTTTCTTTTTTTCTTTTTTTTTTTTTTTTAATTTTATTTATGATAGTCACACAGGGAGAGAGAGAGGCAGAGACACAGGCAGAGGGAGAAGCAGGCTCCATGCACCGGGAGCCCGACGTGGGATTCGATCCCGGGTCTCCAGGATCGCGCCCCGGGCCAAAGGCAGGCGCCAAACCGCCGCGCCACCCAGGGATCCCGAGCAGCCCGTTTCTGTGGCGTAAGCCCCCCGCCCCCCACAGAGAAGTCCCCAGCCCCTCTGCTCACCCTGCCACTCTGCACAAGAGCCGTGGGGCTGGCTGCGCTCCCCCTCCTCCCAGGGAGAAGGGGTCCTTTCTGGGGGAAGCGACCAGCCCGACCCCCGAGGGTGGGGCGCCCAGCGCAGAGCCACCAGCCACCTGCCCCCGCCGGCGGCGAGCATCTGAGCACTGGCACGGCGGCACCGCGCATGGGCCTCCAGCCAGCCCCGCGCAACTTTTTTTTTTTAAATTTTATTTATCCATTAATGACATTAATGAGAGAGAGAGGGAGAGGCAGGCTCCATGCAAGGAGCCCAACACGGGACTCGATCCCGGGACCCTGGGGTCACGCCCTGGGCCGAAGGCCGCGCTAAACTGCTGAGCCACCTGGGCTGCCCCCCGCCCCCGCGCCCACTCTTCAGCACGGACCAAGAGCCGGTGCGGGAACCCGATCCCCGTGTCCTAGGCACGTGCGCCCCTGACCGGGAAGAGGGCGGTGTGGGAAGGGCCAGTCGGGCCGCAAGCCTGAGCTCTTGAGAGGCGCGGTGGCGTCAGCATGGAAGGCTGGGTGCTGGCGGTCCCTCGGTCGGGGTTCCCCGTCAGCAGCGGGCTCCCAGAGCACCCGCTCTAGCAGGCCCGTGTGCCCCACGCCCGGCTCTCAGGTCTCCCCGCCCGGCGTGGGTGCGGCGTCCCCGGGGGCCCTCTGCAGAGGACACGCAGATCCTGCTGACCCCAGGCCCCTGAGCAGAGCGCAAAGCGCACGGTTGTGCATCAAGGAAATCGCTAGAGCATCGTTACAGCGAATGCTCCCTGACCGTGCGAGGACTGGTGAAGCACCGACGACGAGGATACGGTGAACGGGTAACAATTCAGAGAAAACTGGAAAATCAGGGACGCCTGGGTGGCTGAGCGGTTGGGTGTCTGCCTTCAGCCCAGGGCGTGATCCTGGGGTCCCCGGATTGAGTCCTTAGTCGGGCTCCCTGCGTGGAGCCTGCTTCTCCCTCTGCCTGTGTCTCTGCCTCTCTCTTTGGGTCTCATGAATAAATAAATAAAATCTTTTCTTTTCTTTTTTTTTTTAATAAATAAAATCTTTAAAATAACCAAACCAGGATCCTTTCATAGTAAGGAAAATCTCCAAGTAAAGTTTCCAAAAAAATCTTTACTCCTTCAAACAACATCCTTACGATGCAGGCACACAGGCCCGCTTTTGAACCCTGGATAAAGGAAGCCGCACTACACATGCGTCGTGCCTCTGGCTTCTTGCACCCACGCGCACGTCCACCGGGTCGCCTGCTGCAGCGTGGAGGGGCACCCACGCGCTCCAACTCCAGACCCAAAGCGTGGCAGGAACGGCGGGGAGGCTGTTCGTGGGAGGTCTCCGTCCCACGCGTTGGGCCAGTCCCGTGTTCGCCCCACGCACACGCGCATATCGACGGACTGGGTGGGTTTGAACCCGCGCTGCCGGGGGCTGCGTCGTAAGCGGGGCGCCGGGTCTGTGCATCTGCTGACGCGACTGCCATCGGGGTCACGCCTGCTGCGGGATCTTGGGCTTCGTCTTGCTGGGTCCACGCCTTTCTTGGACCCGTCCTCCCTTCTGCTCCGCTTCCCCTCCGCTTGTTCAAGGTGCGTCTCTCTCCCCGGTCTCCTGGCGTAATCACGGCGCGTGCCGACGACTCACCAAAGTCTGTTAACAACTGTGCCCACCGCCTTCGTGCCACGGGAGGGGATGGTGAACACTTAGCTCCAGACACTCGCGCCCCCGTGGGTGTGCGTGTTGGTCCACGTGCATTCGTTTCCGCTTGCCCGCCCGCACTCTTCCTGCTGCGGCCCCTCCAGTCTGCGAGCACCTTCCGGGGTGAGCTCCGTCTTCACGACGAGGGGGAGATCCTGCTGGGGCAAAGCTTCCTTCTGTTTTGTTGTGGTGCATCGTTTTCTTGACTTTTCCCTCTTCTTTTGGAAGATTATTTATTTATTTGAGAGGCCGAGCACGAGCGGCGGGGGGGGGGCGGGGGGGGGCAGAGGGAGAGGGAGATGCAGGCCCTGTCCCAGGACCCCGGGATCTCGCCCTGAGCCCAAGGCCGAGGCCTCACCGACGGAGCCACCCCACCGGGCGCCCCTATACTTCTGTCTCCTTAAAAGATTGTTTTTGCTGGGCGTGGAAGTCCAGGTGGACGGTTGTGCCTGCCGCATGGGGGTCCTGTCGTAGTCGGGCTCTGTGCCGCTCCTCTCAGGCCTCTGTCTTCCCTCTTTGCCTCTGCTGTCCTGCAGCATCGCTGGGATGGTTCTGGGGACACGTTCCTCCCACTGCTCCGGCTCTGGGCCTGCCGGGCCTGCGGCTGCGGGGACATCCAGGGACTCGTGCCTCCTGGTGCCCTCCCCTCCCACGTCACGCGGCGCTGACCCTCGGAACCAACGGGGTGGTGCGGAAACGAGGGAGCGGGAGGGAGTCCAAGGCTGTCCTCGGACACTGCGGCCCCCTCCTGCCGCGTCCCCAAGCGCTGGCTCGGGGGGGGAAGTCAGCGGCAGGACCGGAGGACTCCCGCAGCCCCGCGGGGGGAGCGAGGCCCCTGCCCACGTCCGGCACCGACTTGCCAGCCACACGAGTGCACTGCGGGGGACGCGGGTTCTCCGGCCCCGTTGGCCTCGCCGAGGACTGCAGCTCTGACGTCGTGACTGTAACCCCGCAGACCCTGAGCCACAGCCACGCAGCTAAGCAGCTCCCACATTCCTGACCTACAGACGCCGGGACAAGCATATTTACCATTGTTTTAAGCTGCTAAGTCTCGGGGACACGTGTCACGTGGCGACAGATATGCCAGCGGAGACGTTATGTACATTTAGGATAAAATTTTCAACGTTAATGAAAAATCAAAATAAATTGGTGTTGCAGTGATTAAGATACTTTGGGGGGAAATCTGGCAGGTTTAGAACATTAAATCTTCCCATCAAATATGATGGTACGGCTTTGGGCGTCCGGGGGGCTCAGAAGGTGAAGCGTCTGCCTTCGGCTCAGGTCCTGACCCAGGGCCCTGGGATCGAGCCCCACGTGGGCTCCCTGCTCCGCGGGGAGTCTGCTTCTCCTCCCTCGGCCCCTCCCCGCCGTGCGCGCGCTCTCTCTCTCTCTCAAATAAATAAATACAACTTAAAAAAAAAAAAGGAAGATGGCGTAGCTTTCCATTAGCTGTCGTCTGTGGTCCTCGGTCGCATGTCACAGTGCTCTTCACAGGGACACTCATTCTTAAGGACTTTGCAGTTTCTGGTGTC